TAAATCACCAAAACAGTCACGGATAGTGTGTTAGCTAAAATAATTCTATTTTTATCGTTCCTTTATTAGTCAGAGTAAAGAATGATAGTTGAAAAGAAGATTGTTTAGGCTTGCGTGAAGTTCTTCTGTTTCCATATCATTAAAATAGAGTCTTTTCACCCTAGTTATGTGATAGTGATGATTGGGTCTTTTTTAATGCACTTCAGCTCCCCAAGGAGAAAGTCATAAAGAACGGTGAGCCTAGTTCCCTATTAAATAAAGAGAAAAAATAAATTACCTTCTCAGCTGCCATTTCTTCAAATATCATTGTGTCCATTCTCTCCGCTTCTGAAATGTTGCACTTTCACTGTATCTTCCATATTTAGTGCCTTCTTTTCTCTTTTCCGGTTTCTTTGTCACCACTTGCTTGGATCTGGATTTTTTTTTTTTCTCTGGCTTACCTTCCAGGTTTTAATTCTCTCTTCAGCTGGGTCTAACCTGCTGTAAAACACACTCACTGTGTTCTCAACTTGTGATGTATTTTTCAGTTGTGGAATTTGTATTTTGTTCCCAAACTTTTCTCACTTTTTTCTTTAAGTTTTCTGTTTCCTGCTAAAAATTTTGAATATCGCCTTTTATGACCTTGAACACCATAAGCATGATTACTGTAGTGATTATGTTTGATAATTCTTTTACCCAGAGCGCTCATATGCCTCTTTCTATTGTCTGTTCCTTTTGCTAGTTCTGATTTATGTTGTCTTGTCTCCTTGTGTTTCTGGTTGTCTTTGATAGAGCGCCAAACATTGTATTTCAGAGATCACTTAGAAATAATTTGAGGTGCGGTGGGATATTACCTTTCTCTAGACAGGATTTTCTCTTATTTCAGCCAGGTACTGGGAGGTACCACCAACTTGGGATTGCCTTAATACAATTTCAGTGGTTGACATACTTGGGACCATGTGGGTGTCTTGAGGCTACGTGGTGGTCCACGTGGGGGCCGAGTGGCTTTTTCTTCCTCTTGACCTCTAAAGTGTCACCCATTGGGTTCCCAACTCAAGGCTTCAGGGAGTTATAAATACCTAGACTTGGCAGGCCTGGATTCCTGTCCTGGACCTCCTGCCCCACGAGGTGGCCAAAGTGCTACTCAGATGCTTGGCCTTCTCTTTGTGAATCCACAGACGCCCTCAGTACAGAGGCAGCATCCAATGCTGACCATCCCTCTCCAGATTTCCATCTTCTTCTGAATCTCTGTCCATACCATTTTACCACCTTGTTAGGGCTCCAATTGCTTTAAACTGTTTATTTATTTATTTGTTTGTTTGTTTGTTTATTTATTTTAGATTTATTTTTATTTATTTATGATAGACAGAGAGAGAGAGAGAGAGAGGCAGAGACACAGGCAGAGGGAGAAGCAGGCTCCATGCTGGGAGCCCGACGTGGGACTCGATCCCGGGACTCCAGGATCGTGCCCTGGGCCAAAGGCAGGCGCTAAACCACTGAGCCACCCAGGGATCCCCACTTTAAACTGTTTTAAAAGACAGTTTACCCAGTTGCTTTCACTGGGGTTGTTGGTCTAAACTCTCTATTCGGTCCAAATACGCAGAAGTGGAACTCACTCAAAACCCTGACGAACAAACGCAAGTTAGCATATGCTCTCTTTTCCTTAAGATAGCCTTCGGAGTCTCGGTCAAACGGTAGTTCTCCACACTCCAAATATTTATGTCTCAGTTTATTCGATCCACAGCCATTCGCTTTAATAAACTCAAAGGCCGAAGTGTTAATTTATGACTCGCACCGCAGCAGTGGCTCATTTGTGTTCTTTGGGATCCACTCAAGATTACTCTTCATAAGCTGCACTTCTTCCAACAACAGGAAGTGGGGTTATTTATTTCAAATGAGAAAAGCACACAGACAGATGGGGGGTCTGAATAAGCAGTTACGTCTGTGGAAGTGAAAATACGCCCCGATGTTTGAAGACAGGGTTCGTAACGCAAATGTAGCCGCGTACGCCTCCGCCGTAGGGTGTGGGCTACTGCAGTCACGGTGGTGGCACAGTTAACCTCCACCAAAGGTGGTGAAGAGTATGTCTCTGATGATGGGACGTGACCTCATGGCCAGAGCAAGCTTCTCCACTAGCTGCTTATTCTTTTTTTTTTCTATTTTATTTTTGCTTATTCTTTAAAAAAACAAAACAACACTCCCCCCCCCAAAAAAAAAAAAAACCCTGCTGAGACACATCTGCTCCATTGCACCACCAGCCAGGGCACCTGTTTCCCTGAAATGGGGGCCCCATAACATCAGGGACTTTGTGCATTGGATTCACTGTCATCCCGTCAGGGCTGGAAAGGAGGTCTGACGCATAATTTGCAGAATCGACCAACAGAGGCCAACATTACCGATTGTCCACTCACAGGCAATTTCTCCGGGGGTGGCCACAGGGGAGGTGGGACAGTTAGGGTGTCAAGGTTTGCAGGGACCAAGTCTGGGAGTGATGGCCTGCCTGCCACTGACTTTCCTGAGGACGTGATTTAGGGTAGCACGCTGGCAAAGATGACTGGGCTCAGCAAACCCAGCAAACGTGTGATGGAATCTGGCCGGGTGCCGCCTCAATGGCTTTTAGGCTGTCCCTCTTCACGTCAGAGGGTGCCCTTGCCTCTCCAGCTCCTGAAGGCCATCCCAACAGTAACCTAAGTCCCCAGGAGGTTTGCTCCCACGGGTGCTGGGATCTCCAGATTTCCCCAAGAGCAGACCAGTGGGTATTTGAGGTTATGGGAAGCCAGAGGACCACCTGCCTTCGACAGGGGCAGGCATTGGGGTCTTGGGGTGGGACTGCCTGGCGGGGCCGTGGAAGCAAAGAGGAGCCGGGTGTCCTCCTTGGGGACTGGGCAGAGGACTGCTGCCCCGTGGACACATTGGAGGAACAGCAGGGGAGAAGGGCTTGGCCAGAGCTGGCCTCAGTTTCTTTATCTGTGGACTGGGAGACTGCACTTGGCCGCAAAGAACTCTGGTTCCTGACAGCTGTTCCCCTGTCCCCTGGCATGCCGACAGTGACCCAGTTCCTCACCTTCCCGAGTCCTCGGCCGGTGACTCACCAGGTGCAGACCAAACAGAGCACACAGGTCGCCCCGGGGAAGGACAGAGCGACGGGCCGGGCTGCAAATGTGCTCTGCCTCCCGCAGGAGTCGGGGCTGGCCTGGGCCGGGGGCTCCGCACCGCTCCCTCCACACCCCGTCCGCAGGTGCCGCGCCCGGGGCCTCCTGGAAAGTCACCTGCGTTATTCTTCACGTTGATTTCGGATGGAAGCCAACCATCACGTCGCGCTCTGGGAGAGGCCATCCGGGCCTTCTGATCTGGAACCGAGGGAGCCTCCCCACACCCGACAGGGTCCTGCTCCCACTCAGGATAGTGGCCGGGACACAGCCCCCCATAATGAATCCCAGGGAGCATCTATATGCAGGTCCCCAAACCAGAGTGACAAGGGACAGACTCTGTACCGTCCGTGGCCTCGGGCCGAACCCCACCGGGAGATGTTTGCCATCACTGAGGAACCCTGTCTCGGAGTCTGTGCCGGGTGCTGGGGCCCTGGGCAGGAGGAGGGAGAGGCAGCCACAGAAGAGGCCGAGGAGTGACAGGCCGACGGGCAGGGGTAACTGTCCCCGTCTCTCTGCAGGGATGAGGCTCCGTCAGAGAACCGGCATGAGGGGCCAAGCCACCCGACAAAGAGCAGCGCTGGGCGGGCTGCCCAAGGGCCAGTGAGTGGCCGGTGTGTACTTTCTGGGCTGCGTGGTGCCCGCCCGTGACCCGCGCTGCCTGGCACCGTGGGGAAGTGCCAGGCTCCCCCGGGCAGGCCGCGGAGCTCTGTTTACCTGCCTACCTTGCTCCGAGGGCTCACAGGCTTGCCGGCATCCACAGTGCACAGAGATAAAGGTGGAGCCAGGGAAAGGGGCAGAGATAGCAGGAGAGGGGTGACGGGGCTGCGGTGGGGCCCAGGGGCCCACACCCCCGGAGGGGCCGCCTGTGGGCCTGAGAGGAGGCTGGGCCCCACCCAGCCTCTACTCCTTCGAGGCCAGTTCCACCCGCGGGGCCTGCACGGCCCAACGATCAGGGCTGTTTCCTGGCCTCCTCAGGGTCTTGAATCCTGCCTGACTTCCTGGGAACAGCAAGCTGTGTCTTGGTTTTGAACCCAGGCCCTCACAGAGAATGGGGGGGGGGCAGGAGCCAGAGCCCAGGATGATGGAGGAGGGGGGCCAGGGCTGGCGGTGGCGACCCCGAGGGTGGGCACGGGACAGGTGGGACCGTGGAGGTGCCAGGGTGGGAGGGGATCGGCACCAGGGCCCAGGGGCTGCTCGCTGTCTGTGTGGGTGCCAGGCTGTACCTGGGCCGCATCAGCCAGCAGGCTTGCTGGGTGGAGGGGTCCCCGGATCTGGGGCCTCCCCTCTTCCCATCCAGGACAGTGAGACAAAAGGCCCATCATCCCTGGTTTCTCTGAGTGGGGATGCCGTTCCCGGCGTGTGAGCAGGGGAGCATCCGTCTCCCCAGGGGCAGGCAGGACTCCAGGGGAAGCCGGGAGTGGGCGGCCAGACTGTGGGGTCCCCTGCGGGGATGCAGTGCCCCGGGGGCTGAGGCGCACGGAGATGGATGGGGGCAGGGACCTCAGACCCAGAGATGCCCATGGGGGGGATGCAGGTGACACCGGTCCTGGTGGGACTCTGGCCACTCGCACATCCTCTCTGGGGAACATGCGCGGGTGTGAACTGGGACTCGGGGCAGCCCACTCGACCATCCGCTGGAGATCGGGGACAACCTTGCTTTCCTCAGGGGCGTGGGGATGGTGCACGTGGGGCAGGTGCGGCCCCCTGGGCGGTGGCTGGTGCATTACCAGGCCTGTGTCAATATTTGCCATTTTTTCTTGCATTATTTTTTTCAAAAACAGTTAACACCCCTGGACTCAGGTTTACTCTTCAGGGTGAAAAAGTGGGTCAGGGAAGTTGGATCCCGAATAATGTTGCTCTGAAGGGCATTCAGGTTTCCCCACTGACCGTGGCCGGGGCGCCGAGGGTCCGAGGTGAAAATCCCACAAAGCAGGCTGGGGCTGGCACAGCGGGGCCACGGGTGCCCAGCCCCTCTGCCCTGTCCAGGGGCCTCCCGCACCGTCCAGAGCCGGCCCCTTCCTTTCCCTCAAGCTCGTCCCGGCGCGTGGGATTCTCTGCGCCGTCGGAAGGGAAGTTGGTTTGGCTGAAATGCGCCAACATCCATCTTAGTCCTTTAAGGTGAGAATTCTATTAACATGCCCCAAAAAGTAGGGAGAAATGGGCAATAGGACCCTGTGATTTTCTCAAGGGAACGTGGCCTGCTGGCATGTGCCCGCCCCTCCCCACACTTACCCCCCACCTCGTGGGGCAGGATTCTGGTTTCCTCACTCACCCCTGCCCCCCACCCCGGGGCAGACACAGGTGGCAGCCAGCCCAACATCCATCCCCCCGCCACGTCCCAACGAACAGGCCAGATAAGGCGCCCGGGGAAAAGGATTGGCAATTCAGACTCTCTCGAAGCTCGGGGTGGCCGCAGGACACTTCTGGCAAACAAGACGTCAGCAGGGACCTCCTAGGGCTTCGGGGAACACGTCCTTCCCTGAAACAGGCACCTCCTTCTCCCCTTCCTCCTTCCTCCTTGGACCACGGCAGGAGCACCTGGAGCAGCGGGCACCATCTGTGATCACAGAGCAATGGCCTGGGGAAGGACCATCATCATCGGGGATGGTAGGGGAGGGCGCTGGAAGGGGTGCGGGTCCCTGATGGCACCGTGGGGCCACTGCCCCAGAGCGGGACCTGGGTTAATCAGGGCGCATGTTATTGGCAGGTGACCCAGAGCTCCTATGAGGTTTATAATAGGATCGGGATAGACGGGGGCTGGAGTCAGGAGGACGTGTTGGCCCTCCCTGTATTGTTGCTCACAAGAACACAGGAGGCACATGGCAGGGACACCGAAGGGGACCCCCGGGATGAGCGATGACTGCTGAAGTGTTGCGGGGCCCCGCCTGCCCCCAGAGCCCCGCACACGTAGCTGGATGCGTGTCTGGGCCGCGAGTTCTACGGGGTCCACCAATAAGGTGTACGGCACAAAGGCAAAATCTCCGCTTCCCTGGACCTCAGCTTCTGTTTGCTGGATTGGCTCTATTCGTTCTTCCTATAGGTTAGAGCTTCTTCTGCAGGTGGCCTTCCCTTCACCTGGCCTCGGGGGCAAGGTGGCCAGTAGGTGGGGGTGGGGAGGGACAGAGAGAGATTTCACTGGAAGACCTTTCCTGATTCTGATAAACGACCATGTACTGTTGGGGTGTCAGCGGGAAAGTGTTTCCACATAAAACAGAACTATTTTTATCAGAGAAGTGTTTTGTTTTCCTTCCTGTTTTACAAGAATGTACACAAAGTATATAATGGGGTTGGTATGAACTCGGTCACCCCCACACCCAAATATTTACATTCCAGGTGACTTAGTGTTGCTCTCACGTCTGCTGGATCAGTGCAGGTGCCGGCATGTGTACGGGAAAGAATGCCCCGCCCGAGATGGGGGTGGCTGGGGGCTCCCGAAGGCAGCCACACAAGGCCCTTGACCCCCACTTGCTGGGTGAGCCTGCTGAGAAACCACAGAGTGTTTCTGTCCCCACGGCCCTCGCTCTGCAAACACTCCATCTCAGGCCAGACCCATCCGGCTGCATTCCGTGAACTGACGGAGCAGCAGGACAAAGGACACAGGACACAGGTCACAGGGTGAGGTGTCCCTCTGCCTCCCGCAGGAAGAGCTGCTCTGGGCTCCCCAGAGGGCCGCCCAGGGACACCAAGCCCGGTCACTGCTGTAAGACACGTGTGCTGGCTGCCCGCTCTGGGAGGCCCTCTCACCTGCCCCTCCTACTTAGCATCAGTGCTTGTTACTTCTATTACTCCTGTGCCTCGACTGTTGCTGGCACAGTCTTGCCGGGGGGGGGGGACATGGAGGAGACGCTGCCGCAGAGCACCGAGGATACACACATCCTACACAGGCCACATTTTATCGAGACTCAGATCTCGGGGCGCCCGGGTGGCTCAGCAGTTGAGCGTCTGACTTCAGCTCAAGGTGTGACCCCGGGGTCCCAGGATCGAGTCCCACGTCGGGCTCCCCGCAGGGAGCCTGCTTCTCCTCTGTCTGTGTCTCTGCCTCTCTCTCTCTCTCCGCATCTCTCAGGAATAAATAAATAAAATCTTTAAAAAAAAAAAGACTCAGATCTCATCCAATCGTAAAGATGCCTCATGATTTTACGTACCTCTCAGCAAAACATAACAGCTTCCAGCTAGACAAACTGTGCTATGTCATCACCTGAGAGACATCTCCCTGTTCGGAGGCCTGGAGTCAATGAACGTGGCCTGGAGTCCATGAAATAGTTATTTATCTTGGGCAGCCTGGGTGGCTCAGCGGTTTAGCGCCGCCTTCAGCCCAGGGTGTGATCCTGGAGACTCGGGATCGAGCCCCACGTCGGGCTCCCTGCATAGAGCCTGCTTCTCCCTCTGCCTGTGGTTCTGCCTCTCTCTCTGTCTCTCATGAATAAATAAATAAATAAAATCTTTAAAAAAATAGTTATTTATCTTGACTTGGCGTGTGCTGCCGTTTGGAGAGACCAGATTTATATGCATGAAATAAATTTAAAAACCAAGACACCTGCACCCTGATGTTTATAGCAGCACAGTAGCCAAACTGTGGAAGGAGCCTCGGTGTCCATCGACAGATGAATGGATAGAGAAGCTGTGGTCTCTGTATACGGTGGAATATTCCTCAGCCATCAGAAACGACGAAGACCCACCATTTGCTTCAATGAGGATGGACCTGGAGGGTATTATGCTGAGTGAAGTAAGTCAATTGGAGAAGGATAAATATTATATGGTCTCATTCATTCGGGGAATATAAAAATAGTGAAAGGGACCATAGGGGAAAGGAGAGAAAATGAGTGGGAAATATCAGAGAGCGAGACAGAACATGAGAGACTCCTGACTCTGGGAAACGAACTAGGGGTGGTGGAAGGGGAGGTGGGCGGGGGGTGGGAGGGACTGGGTGATGGGCACTGAGGGGGGCGCTTGATGGGATAAGCACTGGGTGATATGCTATATGTTGGCAAATTGAACTCCAATAAAAAAATATAAAAAAAAGAGAAAGAAACACAACCTGTATTTAAATGTATATGGTACTTCAAAATCTTGATTTTAAAACATACACAGGGGCAGCCCAGGTGGCTCAGCAGTTAAGCACCTGCCTTTGGCCCAGGGTGTGATCCTGGAGTCCCAGGATCGAGTCCCACATCGGGCTCCCTGCATGGAGCCTGCTTCTCCCTCTGCCTGTGTCTCTGCCTCTCTCTCTCTCTCTCTCTCTCTGTCATGAATAAATAAATAAAATCTTTTAAAAAAATAAAAAAAGAATAAACCACACACAAGAAAAGAAAAGTTTCCAGAAATAAAAGAGGATCTGATTCTTCATATTTTATAAGTCCATCAAGTACTTGGGAAAATTGAGCTTCAACAATCAACTCCAAGACATATCCTAGCAAAATTATTAGACTTTCTTAAAAAGAAAAATCCCTAAGTGAAATAATAATAAATTTATTGGATGTTGTAATAAATGTAGGATATATATGCATAATATAAAATTATTGGACATTAAAAAAATTTAAAAATAGATAAAAATAAAAACCAAGACACTTCACCATTATGAACTCCATGGTTTGGCCCAGGGGGCAGATGGCATTGGGATTCAGAAAGAAGTGCCAGCCGGTGCTAAGGGAGACGGGGGAAGGTTTGAAAAGAACATGAAGCTACTGAACCCTGAAAGGGGAAGCTCAGGGGTGAAAGGGGAGGCCGGGTAGTGGAGTCGTGGGAAGCACCCTGCTGTGGCATGGAGAGGGGGCCCAGGGTGGCGGGGACACTGCCGGCCAGACGACCGCAGCAGCAGCCACTGTGGGAGGGGTGCTCACCTGTACATGACACCCCGCAGGCACGGAGCGCTCCGCATGCTGTCACCTCTCCTCCCCATTGTGGCCCTGGGAGTGACGCAGGTCTCCCGGGAGCCGAGCCCGTGACGAGGACACGTGCACGAGCCCAGGAGCGGGGCAGGCAGCCCAGGGAACTGGAAGAAGAAGGTAGACAAGATGTGTGGCTTCAGGTCAAGTTCGTTCCAGCCTGATCCCAGGGGGAGGATCTCAGCGTAAGGAAGCTGGGGTGGGGGTGCGTGGGTGACCGTAAATCCCCAGCTGGGTGGTGACAGCAGTGCCCCGACGGAGCCCTGGGTGGGGGGGTGCTGTCAGTAGCAGACCCTCGCGGGGGCAGGTGTGGTGAGTGACAGGCCAGAGAGCATCTGGGGGCAGCACCAGTGGGATTGGCCGCAATGGACCTTATTACTCTCCTGCACCGATGGACTACCGGAAACACGCGGAGAGCGATTACGGTCCCCGGGGGCGACACTGGGAGGACCCAGAAACGGGCTCTCTGACTCTAAAGAAAGCACTTCCAGGGCACCTGGGTGGCTCAGCGGTTGAGCATCTGCCTTCAGCTCAGGGCCTGACCCAGGGGTCCTGAGATCGAGTCCCGCATTGGGGTCCCCGCAGGGAGCCTGCTTCTCCCTCTGCCTCTGTCTCTGCCTCTCTCTGTCTCTCATGAATAAATAAGATTTTTTAAAAAATAAAGCACTTGTTGCATTTATCCATTCTGTGATCGATTACTTATATTTTTCACTTGCTAACCTTAAAAATAAAACTGTTAGTTGTTTTACCAGCGAAAGATGGGTGCATTTGGGATGATGGAGAATTGCAATCCGGGACAAGTGAGAATAGAAGAGAGGAGGCTCTTTGATAGAGGAGTGGGGGCAGGCGGTGGTTTGGGGGGACTGTTGTCAACTGAAAGCCCTTTGGCGGCGTAAACTGGGAGCTGGAAGCGTCCAGGCTTTTCTCATTGGTGGGGCTGTTGCCATGAGCGGAAAAAAATGTCCTCCTCCTGGGGGAGTAAAGCTGCAAGAGCAAGAGCAGGGCGCCTCTCTTCCCGCTGGCTTTGGGATTGAAGAGGAGCTGTAGGGCCCTCAGCTCCCCGCTGCATGCCCCTCAACTCCATTTTAGCGAGGTTTCTCTTCACTAATATTCACACACTCTTTTCACTACACCCAACTACTGGGTAAAGGGTTTGGTCGTATGACGAAGAAATTGGAATTAAGATGGGAAAGACTGAACCACCAGAGAACTGTAGAATTTTTCGATTATCTGATGCTCCCTTTGTTGCTGTTGTTTTTTTTAGATTTTATTTATTTATTCTTGAGAGATACACAGAGAGAGGCAGAGACACAGGCAGAGGGAGAAGCAGGGTCCCTGTAGGGAGCCCGATGCGGGACTCGATCCCAGGACCCCAGGATCATGACTTGAGCCGAAGGCAGACGCTCAACCGCTGAGCCTCCCAGGTGTCCCTATGTTGCCTTTGTTCTATATTAAGATGTATAGACGATAGATAGATAGGGAATGAAAATGCCATAAGGAAAGTGTAAGACAAAAAAACAAGATAGGAAATAATATTCAGGGCCAGTACCATAGAAAATGTGCCATATCCCTAATATTTAAGAGCTGCCAAAAGTCAGAGAACAGAAAGACCAGTGGTTGAGCCCTTTCTCATACCATATCAAAAAAATCATCTCAAAGTGGATCAAAGACCTAAATATAAGAGCTAATGCTATCACTCACTAGAAAGAAACCGTAGGGGTGAACCTACATGACCTTAGAGTTGGCAACGGTTTCTTAGATGTGACACCAAAAGCACAGGCAACAACAACAACAAAAGTACATCAATTGGATTTCACCAAAATCTAGAAGGTTTATGTATCGAACCAAGCATGCTCTCCAGAGAGTGAACAGCCAGCCCAGAGAACGGGGGAGATACTTGCAAATCGTCACTCTGATAAGGGTCTAGTGTCCACAGCCAAGAGACAAACAACCCAATTAAAAATGGGCTAAACACTTTGAAGGACATTTCTCCAAAGAAGATACGCCGACGTCCAACAAGCACTTGAGAGGAAGCCCAATATCCACTGGGAAAATCGAAACCATGATAAAATGCCACATCAGCCCCACTAGGGTGACTGCAATTTAAAAAAGAAAAAAGAAGAAAGAAAATAGAACAGAATGAGGGCATCTGGGTGGCCCAGTGGTTGAGCGTCTGCCTTCAGCTCAGGTCATGACCCCAGGGTCCTGGGATCGAGTCCCACATTGGGGGCCCCACCGGGAGCCTGCTTCTTCCTCTGCCTGTATCCCTGCCCCTCTCTCATGAATAAATAAATAAAACCCTTTTAAAAAATTAGAAATAAAAAGAACAGAACAGAAGCAGCATCGGGGAGCATGTGGAGAAACCTTGCCGGTGGAAAGTAAAAAGGCACAAGGGCTGAGGACAGCAGTCTTCTGGAAGTTCCTCGAACGTTCACACCGAGTTACCACGGGACCCAGCAATTCCACCGCTAATTGGGAATCTGAAGGATTCGAATCTTGTATTTGATTCTTTCGTACCCTCTCCTGCCCCGGTTGTGAGGACTTTTAAAATCATACTAACCTTTCGCCCACCGCGCATCCTACCAATATTTTCCGGCCGTTCAGTATCTTCAATTTATGGGCCAAAGAGATTCCCTTTGGGCTTTGATTGAAATGACACCAGTGAAGACAGATGGGTGGGGGGTGGCAAGTAGAAGACGCCGCCGCCCCGTGTTTCTGACCCGGTGGGCACGCACTGCCTGGGGTCTTTGGTCAAGTCGTCCTGTTCTGTGCGTGTCTCACCCTCTTTACATTGCTTGGCGGCGCTTCACAGTTGGGCCTGCAGCGGTGCTGGGAGTCTCTCCCCAGTGTTCACACGCTGGCGCGGCCCGTGCGCGGGTCCCGAATGTGCAGCGAGCCCCCGCGTGAGGGTGACCTTAGAGACCACTCCGCCAACCCCGCCTCCAGTAGTTTCCACAAGGTGCATGGAGCCAAACAAAGCGCAGACGGGAAAACAGCCTCCTGCAACCCACTCGCTGGTTTAATGAGTAAAAACTAATTGTAGAAAATAAAGCGGCGCTAATGAGGGGTCCCCTGCGACCAGCGCTGGGCCAACACGGAAGGGAGGCGTGGGGAGCCCGGGCCAACACACACGCCTGGAGGGTATAAAAGCTGACAGATGGCTCAAGCTCCTCACACTCACACACTCACACCCGCACCCACACACACCCACACCCCCAGCCCCACGTCCACACCATGGCCGCCTCCACCCTGTCCGTCTGCTCCAGCGACCTGAGCTACGGCGGCCGCGTCTGCCTGCCCGGCTCTGGCGACTCCTGCCCCGACCCCTCCTGGCAGGTGGATGACTGTCCCGAGAGCTACTGCGAGCCCCCCTGCTGCGCCCCGGCCTCCTGCCTGACCCTCCTCTGCACCCCTGCGAGCTGCGGGTCCAGCCCCTGCCCACCAGCCTGCCCCGGCTCCTGCCAGCCCTCCTGTGGCAGCTGCTCCCCCTGCCAGGAGGGCTGCTGTGTGTCTGTCTGCTGCAAGCCCGTGTGCTGCACCCCTGTCTGCTGCACCCCCATCTGCTGCAAGCCCGTGTGCTGCACCCCTGTCTGCTGCAAGCCCGTCTGCTGTGAGGCATCCCCTTGCTCAGCCTCCCCCTGCTGCCAGCAGTCTAGCTGCCAGCCCTCCTGCTGCAGCTCCACCCCCTGTCAGGAAGACAGCTGTGTGTCTGTCTGCTGCAAGCCTGTGTGCTGCACCCCTGTCTGCTGCAACCCCGTGTGCTGCACCCCTGTCTGCTGCACCCCTGTCTGCTGCAAGCCTGTCTGCTGTGAGGCCTCCCCCTGCTGCCAGCAGTCTAGCTGCCAGCCCTCCTGCTGCAGCTCCTCCCCCTGCCAGGAAGACAGCTGTGTGTCTGTCTGCTGCAAGCCTGTCTGCTGCACCCCTGTCTGCTGCACCCCCATCTGCTGCAAGCCTGTCTGCTGCAAGCCCGTGTGCTGTGAGGCATCCCCTTGCTCAGCCTCCCCCTGCTGCCAGCAGTCTAGCTGCCAGCCCTCCTGCTGCAGCTCCTCCCCCTGCCAGGAAGACAGCTGTGTGTCTGTCTGCTGCAAGCCCGTGTGCTGCCAGGCCTCCCCCTGCTGCCAGCCAAGCCCCTGCAGGCCCTCCTCCTGCGTGTCCCTCCTCTGCCGCCCCGTGTGCAGGCCCGCCTGCTGCGCCCCCTCCCCTTGCCAGCCCAGCTGCTGCCGCCAGGGCTCCAGCGTGTCCCTGCTGTGCCGCCCCGGGTGCTCCCGCCAGGCCTGCTGCCGCCCCGCCTGCTGCTGAGCCGCCTGAACTACCCCGGGAGCTGCCATCTCAGCTGCTGAGCCCCCCGTCCTCCCCCGGGGCCCCTGCCCTCGGTGGACATGTGGCTGCTGCCAACTGGAACCTGAACAGGCCGCCCGCCCCTCTCTGGGGAGACGGCCCGCAGCCCTCAGCAGGGGCAACCTGCGGCCCCAGGGCCCTCGTCTGCATGAGCCGTGGCTTGTAATCTGCGTGACGAAGGCCAATCACCGTAATCAATAAAGCGTTTGTGTCATGAAGTAGAGACGGGCGTGTGTCTGTCCCTCCTCCTCCTCCGAGCCCGGAGAGCCCCGGATTGGAGCCGTGGCTGCTGTGCGGGGGTCGCAAACAGTGACGACCCAGTCTCATGTCCAAGCTCAAAGCCCCTGAGAGACGAGGTCTGAATGCAGATGTTGCCTGCACGCACCTGGCCCTTCCCCTCCCAGGACCCCCCCCCACCCACACCCACACCCACACCCACCCACACCCACCCACCCACGGTGCAGAGCCCTCCCAGCCTGGGCCCGGGAGGTGAGCAGGGCCGCAGAAGGCCCGCACCCTGAGTGGCCTTCAGGCTCTGGCCCACCCGGCCCCCTGCCCGTGCAGGTGAAGGGGGAGCTGCAGGACCCTAACTGACGGGACTCCGAGGCTCAGTACCCAGCACCGTGCTGACTCCGCTGGGGAGGGGTGCCCACACAGAGGAGCGGCCGCTTGCTGGGTGGGCACAAGGGCTGGCGCTCTGAGCCCCGCAAATCCCCGTCGGCCCCGAGAGGGGTACAGGGTGGGTCAGGCATCATCCACTCTACTCAAGGCTTCGAGGCCTGATTAAGGAGATGGGGGCAAAAAGGTGCCTTGCGGACAAACCCTCGGGACAGCGGGGGAGGACGAGCCTGCAGTCTCAGGGGACCACAGCGCTGGGGGGCCAGGTGGGCACCAGGCAGACCAACCAGGCCGGCATCAGGCCCCCCTTATGTCTTGTACCAGGAACAGGAGGAAGAGGCCCCAGGGCAGAAGAGCAGAGGTGCGGCAGGCGGGAGGAGGACAACAGGCGCCCCCTCAGAGGCTGGCTCCCCTGGCCCCAGGCGGGCTCTACCCCGGGGGAGGACCCAGAGCCAAGGGGCCTCGAAAGGGAAAGGGGCTGGGCTCTTAAACCCCTCAGTTTGCCTGAATTTATTCAAAACCTATGCCTGTTAGTTGTTCATTTAAATTTTAAGAAAACCAGACTATCTGCACAGATAAAGACCAAGACCTGGGTGGATTCCGCACCCCGAGGCGAGGGAGGCTCTACACCCCGGACCCCAGAGCCGCGAAGGGCACAGATGTTGACTCCTGAGGAAACCAGCGGCCCACAACGGCGCCAAAATAGTGCGTGGGAGAGTCTGGTGGGGCCCTGCGGGAGGCACCCCTGCCCTGGGCTGGCGGCTGGTCGCCCAGACCACCTGACGGTTCTGCAGGAGGCTCAGGTACCCTGCAAAGGCCTGGCCAGCCTGCCGGCGGCCAACGGCTCCTGGCCGGGGCGTCTACACAGTCAGCCGGACTGCTTCCAGATGGGGCGTCTACACGGCCAACCCCGCCGCTTATAGACGGTGTCTACACGGTCAGCTAGACTGCTCACAGATGGGGCGTCTACACAGCCAGCCAGACTGCTTACAGATGGGACGTGTACACCGTCAGCCCAGCTGCTCCTAGACAGGGCGTCTACACAGTCAGCCTGGTTGCTCCCAGATGGGGCATCTACAAGGTCAGCCGGACTGCTCACAGTTAGGGCATCTACACAGCCAACCAGACTGCTCTCAGATAGGATGTCTACACAGTCAGCTGGCTATTCCCAGACAGGGCATCTACACAGCCAGCCAGACTGCTCATAGACTGAGCATCTACACAGTCAGCCTGGCTGCTCACAGATGGGGTGTCTACACGGCCAGCCACGCTTCTCATAGTTGAGGCGTCTATACAGCCAGACTGCTCCCAGATGGGGCCTCTACACAGTCAGCCAGACTGCTCCCAGACAAGGCGTCTACACGGCCAGCCTGGCTGCTCCCAGAGGGGGCGACTACACGGCCAGCCAGCCCCGGTTGCCCAAGGAGAGAATGCATCGGAGGTGTCAGTGCCCGAGACGGCCTGTTCCGCAGCAGCGACGTGGCTCAGCGCTCCGGGCCCCCACCGCCCCCACCCTCCGAGCCCCCACCCCCACCCTCCGAGCCCCCATCCCCCCACCCTCCGAGCCCCCCACCCTCCGAGCCCCCCAGCCCCCACCCCGACCCCGGGGAGCCCCTCTGCGGGCGGCGGCCCGGTGCCCCGGGAGCAGCGCGGTCCCCCTCCCCCATCAAGGGCATCCCCGGGGCGGGGCCTGCGCGCTGCCTGTGGCGGGCCCGGGGGTGCCCAGGGGGAGGGACCCCGGCTGGGCACGCGGTGGGGTTCACGGGACCGGGAGGAGGGAGCCCCGGCAGGCGCCCCGACCCGACCGTCACATGCTCGCGACCCGAGGCCTGGGGGTGCCGGGCGATCCCAGAACCGTGGGTGCGCGGTCCCGGCGCGGTCAGGACCCCGCGGGCGCTCCCCGGGGACCACGTCCTGGTTCAGGCGCCCCCCGCCCCTGCCCCCCCCCGCCCGCTGTCCCCGCTCCCCTGGCGCTGCCCTGCCCTCGTGTGTCCCCGGGGGCCCCGCGCCCCCACCCGGGGAGTCAGCCCGGGGGTGTCCGCGGTCCCCCGCAGGGGGCGCAGGCGCGTCGGGGCAGGGCCGGTTGGCGGACCGGGGGTCCCCACCCCGAGCCGCGCGGGCCCCAGGCGGGAGCGCGGAGGGCGGGCGTCGAGGGGCCACAGGGACGCACGCACCGGCGCTGCGGGAGCCCCGGCCCCGGCGGACACTCAGGTCCCGGCGGCCGCGCTCTGGGGGGCCAGGTCCTTGCCGAGCGCCCGCACACCTGTCCCCTGTCCCCCCGGGCGCAGCGCCGCCCCCGCGCGGGGCTCCCTGATGCGTGCTCCCTGCACCCTGCTCGGTCGTCCCTGCGCGGGGCTCCCTGAACCCTGCTCTGTCCTCCCTGCTCGGGGGGAGGGGGGGGCGGGGTCCCTGCTCCGTGCTCTGTGCACGATGCTCCCTGCTCTGTCCTCCCTGCTCTGTGAGCGGGGCTCCCTGCTTCATGCTCCTTGTGTGGTGCTCCCTGCTTGGTGCTCCCTGCTTGGTGCTCCCTGCGCCTTGCTCAGTGCTCCCTGCTCCCTGCACAGGGCTCCCTGCACCGTGCTCAGTGCTCCAGGATCCCTGCTCCATGTGCCCTGCACGATGCTCCCTGTTTCATGCTCCTTGCTCGGTGCTCCCTGCTCCATCTCTCTGTGTGGTGCTCACTGCTCAGTGCTCCCTGCACCCTGCTGGGTGTTCCCTGCTCGGTGTTCTGTGCTCCACCACCCGCTCCATGCTCCCCACTCCATGCTCCCCACTCTGTGCTCCAAGCCCCAGCGGCATCCCGTTTCCCACGGCTTCCTCTTCCACGCCCCCCCTCCCCATCTCCCTTCTCGCGAGTCCGTGGATGACGCGGGCCCACCCGGCCCACCTCCCAGTGCACGAGCCTCAGGTCGCCCGTCTGCGGAGCCGCCTCGCCTGCAGGGCTGTATTGACCGGTCCTGGGGAGGGGGACGCGGGCGACTCCGGGCGGGGGGGGGGGGGGAGTTACCCCCAGAGCCCTGTCCCCATGGGCGAAGGAGGAGCTGTGTTCTTCCCCAGAGCATACACGTCCCGGTTTTCGACCAGGTTGGCTCCATATGTTAGTGACTGAGTGTACCTAAAAGGCAGGTGGGAAGGTTGGAGACGCGCCCTCAGTCCCTCCCAGCAGAGCAAGAACGAACCTCGGTGGTTCGAGGGACAAAGTGGGACCAAAGGAAGCCCTGGGGGCGCCTCAGGCTGAGCAGGAGGCCCACTCGCCCCCTTGCCACCTGGGCACGGCCACCTGGTAACCGGGGCTCCTCGGCAGAGGGAGCGCTCCTGGATCCTGGGGAGCCACCCGGAGAAAGCAGTTTCGAGAAAGGCGCTAAAGGAGACACGCCGCACACACTCGGGGGATTCGCACACGCTCCGGGATTTATTAGACTCGTGGGGGCGGCTGCAGAGCCTGGGCACTTGCACCAGCCAGCTGGGTGCTGTGTGGGTGACCCAGGCCGGGGCCAGGGGACCCAGTGGGCAACCCGCTCCGCCTGGTTAATGGGGATCAAGTGGCTTTGCTGGAAGATGATCCAGTTGGGTCCAGAATGTCTGAGGTGGATGATGCCTGGGCTGCCTGGTAGGAGCTCAGAGCAGCTACTTCTGATTGCAGGGAGGAGGGGGTCCTAGGAGGCCACAGCTCAACAGCAGTTAGGGGTGCCACAGGGGCCAGGGGTGCAGACCAGGGTGGGGCGGGAGGGCTGGCAGCAGCCAGAGGACTGGCAGGAGGCCACATACACGATGGGCTTGCAGCTCACAGGCAGGCACACGGCGGGCTTGCAGCTCACTGGAAAGCACACAACGGGCCTGCAGCTCACAGGCACACAGCTGGACACCTGGCAGGAGCTGGGCACGCAGCTGGACACCTGGCAGGAGTTGGGCATACAGCTGGACACCTGGCAGGAGCTTGGCACGCAGATGGACACCTGGCAAGGTCTGAGCAAGCAGCTGGACACCTGACAGGGGCTGGGCACACAGCTGGACACCTGGCAGGGGCTGGGCACACAGCTGGACACCTGGCAGGAGCTGGGCACACAGCTGGAAACCTGGCAGGAGCTGGGCACACAAAAGGTTGCCTGGCAGGGGCTGAGCACACAGCTGGACACCTGGCAGGAGGTGGGCACACAGCTGGAAACCTGGCAGGAGCTGGGCACACAAAAGGTTGCCTGGCAGGGGTTGAGCACACAGCTGGACACCTGGCATGAGCTGGGCACACAGCTGGACACCTGGCAGGAGCTGGGCACACAGCTGGACACCTGGCAAGAGCTGGGCACGCAGCTGGACACCTGGCAGGAGCTGGGCACACAGCAAGCCGGCTGGCAGCCCTCAGAACAGCTGGTGTGGCACATGGTGGAGTGGGGCTGGAGTGGAGTCGGGGACGAGGACAGGCTGGTCTGGAGGCTCCTCCCCGGTGGCCTTTATACCCAGCTGTGGCGTCCCTTCCTGCAGTTGCCTGATGATTTTCTTCCTCCTCCTCCGCGTCTCTCCCTGGAGTTCCTGGTGCAAGTGACTCGGTTCAGGAAACCCTGTGTCAGCTGCAGGCTCGCCGTGACCCAGCAGCCCCGGGAGTTCTGGATTCAGAGCCCGGTAGGATGGCTAGGGGCTATCAGCTGGGGACAGGGGACCCCCAAGTCGGGATGTTGGGGGGCCTCCCCAAGCTGATACACCATCCTCCGTCCACACAAGCACCTTCCCGCTTGCCAGACCGGGATCAATTCGGAAACTCTGTGATCCAGAATCTTCCCGACGGACCAGAGCCAAGCAGCAGGGCTCCTCGTGGCCAGCGGCCATGGCCACGTCACACATGTCACACTGTCCCAGCCCTGCGCCAGGCGCTGTGCGGAGCCTTGCACATGGATCCGCTCATCCCTGATTAGTCACCAATCCCTGTCACCATCCAAGGGGTGGGGGGGACCCCACTTACACGGAGGTGCAGTCAGAGTCCCTGACGTGTGGGCCTCCTCACCACCAGGGGAAGCAGCAGGAATCTGAAGCTGCTCGGTTGCACCCTGGAGTCCGTGGCCTCGACCTCAGTGCCAGATTATGTGGGACTTTAGGGGTTTTCTGAGACTCTTGGATCTGTAAATTAGAATTTAAATAAAAACAAATTTGTGGTGGGAGTCCTGGGTGACTCATTGGTTAAAGATCGACTCTTGATCTCAGCTCAGGTCTTGACCTCAGGGTTGTGAGCTCAAGCTCCACGTTGGGATCCACGCTGGGCATGGAGCCTACTTGAAAAACCATCAGGGACTTTTATCTACTATTTACGTCACAATATCATTCTCTGCTCCTCCTTGGGTTGGGATCGCTCATTGTTAGACTTCCTGATACGGTCCCCTAGTCACTCTTCGTGTGTCTTAATTCTGTTCTCTCTTCTTCACATTGGGTCTTTCCCACTCACGTGTCTTCCCGTGGACAGTCTTTCCCATCCCATGGACCCGGGTGTGCAAAGCCTGGACCTCAAGCGTGTGGGCTGAGCCCGGCCCCCTGCAGCCCAGCACCCCCTCTACAGGATCGCCCGCTGTTCCGGGAACGTGCCCCTTTCTGCGGCAGTGTCCTCACACCCCCACAACTGCCTCTGCTTGGAACCCCGCCCCCACCACGTCACCTGCATGCCAGCTTGGCATCGCCTCCAACCAGGGGGGCCCCAAACCACCCACCAGGGCCTTCACTCCTCTCTACCTGCTGAACCTGTTTTTCTTTCTGGGACTTGGCCTGCTCTGGAATCATTTCACGCATTAACTTTCACGCACTCGTTCATTCCTTGCCCCGCAAGGCTCACAGGGCCAGGACGTCTCTGTGGCCGGCACACAATACATATGTGTCGCACGAACAAACCAGCTGCTGCATAGATTACTAGGAGGCAGAAAGGGTCACCTCTCCATAAAGGGAGGAGAGTAACTATTTCAGGCTGGCAGTGGCGTGCTCTCTATAAGCACCCTGCATTACAGAGCAAGCCCCAGACAACACGGAAGCAAACGAGCATGACTGTTTCCAATAAAACTTTATTTACAAAACAAGTGGAGGCCCGATTTGTCCCACAGACTTCCCTGCTTCCCAGCATAGGGATCCCCACTTTAATGTTTTCTGTGCAGAACAAAAGCTCAGAATGCATCACTGCAAAGTACCCCCAGACGGCATGAGGCAAGAAGGGATGAAGGATGCAGTCCGGAGTGGAGCCAGTGGTGCTGTGTGCACAGTGTTGGCCTGGAGAGATCACCCCAACCCCACACAAAGTCAAACCAGAACAACCTGTTTACAGAAGAAGAAATTGGCCTCTACGTCAAACATATTTATGGTGGAGCCTGACACAGGAGAGCACACCTGCGACAGGAGGCGGGGGGAAGCGTGCTGGAAACAACTGAGGAAGTCAACAGGCAGTCATGCCCCAGGACGCTCCAGCCGGGGTATAAAGGCCGCCCCGGGAGCACCCTCCAGACACTTCCACCCTCCTCCCCAACACCAGCCCAGCTCCACGCCAACATGTGCCACACCAGCTGCTCCCCAGGCTGCCAGGCTTCCTGCTTCACCTCCAGCCCCTGCCAGGCGTCCTGCTACGTGCCCGTGAGCTGCCGGCCCTCCGTGTCCGTGCCCGTGAGCTGCCAGCCTGCCGTGTCCGTGCCCGTGAGCTGCCGGCCCTCCGTGTATGTCGTCCCCTCCTCCCAGTCCTCCGTGTGCCTGCCCGTGAGCTGCAAGCCTTTGGTGTTTGTGGCCTCCTCCTGCCAGTCCTCTGGGTCCTGCCAGCCCTCCCGCCCCACCCTGGTCTGCAGGCCTGTGTCCTGTAGCACTCCGACCTGCTTCTGACCATGAGCCTCCTGCCCAGCCACTCCCAGGGCACGGGGGCCACACCTGTACCCTTCCTGGAACGAGCCTTCAGTGGGTCTCCAGGTTCTGCACGGGGCAGATGAAGAACATGCCCAGCAGACTCTCTGAAGCCAGTGGCAAGGATGGAGCAGGATGATCTGGATCCTTCTTTGACCCTGGGAAGTGTGCCCCCCACCCCTGGGAAGCCCTGGTTTTCCAGGGGCTTCTGTCTCCAGCAGGGAACCAACCCTGTGTGAGCCAAATAAATTGTGCCTTCCTGATGCAGCTTGTTCCTCTAGTTTATTTTCACATATTTTGAAGTTCTTATCTCAAAGACATATATAAGTGTAAGTACAACAGCCCCTCCTCAAAGAGCCCTTTCTCCAACAGCTCAGCTGAGGGTGGGGAGGGGGGCTTGGAGGGTGCAGGGGGAAGGTGCACACCCAGCACCCGAGACTCACTTTATAGATGGGGAAGGGCAGAGGAAGAGCTACCCCCACTGAACAGGGGCTGGGAATCAGAGTGCTGCAAAAGGCAGGGGGCAGGGGAAGCTCACACAAACCCTCCCCAACTACAAAGTGGAGTCTGGACCGTTTTGCAGGGAGAAGCAGTAGGAAGTGAGAAAGCCTCACCCTCCACGACCCAGGCACATAGGCCTGCTCAAGACTGACCCTGGGCCAGGACAACAGAGCCCTCCTGGTCCCAACTCAGCCTGGCTGGTAGAGCTGCAGGAGGAGGAGCAGTCATTGGAGGGGGAGGCAGGCATGTGTAGAGGTCCCCTCCATGTGCCAGACACACGAGGGCAAGAGAAAACTTAGGGCAGAGCAAGAACACTGTGCCTCCAGCCCTTGCCCTAAGCATACGGCCCTGGGAACCCACCATAAAGGAATCCAAACTCTTAGGTACCTTGAAGGTCATCACAATAACAATAAAACCCAAACCAAGGTCAACAACTGAGCAGGTTGATCCAAACTTCCCCCCCATCACACACATAACCTGACTGGAGAGACCCACCCATTTCCAGGAGGAAACACTGTTTATGTCCATTTCAATTAGCACATGATATCTGATATTCAATCAAAAATGAGAAGACAGGGCAGCCTGGGTGGCTCAGCGGTTTAGCACCATCTTCAGTCCAGGATGTGATCCTGGAGTCCCGGGATTGAGTCCCGCATTGGGCTCCCTGTGTGGATCCTGCTTCTCCCTCTGCCTGCGTCTCTGCCTCTCTCTCTCTCGTCTCTCTGAATAAAAAAAAAATTTTTTAATCTTTAAAATCCATAAGGAAGAGAAAATACTTTTACAGTACTATGCTATATATATATATATATATATTTTTTAAATCCAGGCCATTCAAACTCATGTTGTTCAAGAGTCAACAGTGCAGGGGGATCCCTGGGTGGCGCAGCGGTTTAGCGCCTGCCTTTGGCCCAGGGCGCGATCCTGGAGACCCGGGATCGAATCCCACGTCGGGCTCCCGGTGCATGGAGCCTGCTTCTCCCTCTGCCTGTGTCTCTGCCTCTCTTTCTCTCTCACTCTCTCTCTCTCTGTGACTATCATAAATAAATAAATAAATAAATAAATAAATAAATAAATAAATAAATAAATAAATAAATAAAAGAGTCAACAGTGCTGTAGTATCTCACTTATATGTGGAATCAAAAAAAAAAAAAAAAGAGAGAGAGAGAGAATTTCAGAGGTGGGGGCAAGGGGTGAGTAAAATGGGTGAAGGCGGCCAAAGGTTACAAACTTCCAATTATAAGACAAATGAATTAGGGAATGTAATGTACAGCATCTCTATAAAAGGAAAACACCAAGTTAATATGTTTAAAGAAATAAAAGACAGAACTATAAATATGAAAACAGAGTGAGAACCTATTAAAGAAGAAGAAACAAACAGATGTGAGGGAAACAAAGACAACTTCTAGAAATAAAAAAAATCAAGTAATGAAAATTAAAAATTTAGTGAACAACCTAAACAGAATATTAGACTCAGCTGAAGAGAGAATTAGAGAAATCAGAAGGCAGATCCAAAGAAAATATTCCAAATGCAGCAAAAAGAGTTTAAAAAGTAGCAAATATGTAAGAGAGGTTAAGAGATGGGCTAAATGATTAGGGGAGATATGTGTGGTAAATTCATAAATAAAAGCATGGGAATGATAAATGTTAAATTGAGAATAACAGTTATATTCAGGATGAACTGAAGCATTGAATCGTGTGGGAGATGTAAAGCTTCAAATAAATAAGTAAAATAACTAAGATTAATATGTTAAATAATCAAGAGTAAAACATGGACTCCATATATGAACTGATGGAGAATTTTGGCAGAGAGTTGCGCACTATACGAAAGAGTCAAAAAGATTATGTAAAAATCAAAATACAATATCAAAAATAAATTCCTTCAGTGGGCTCATCAGTAGACTTGACACAGCCAAGTGTGGAATCATTAAAATTTAAAGATAAGGGATCCTCAGCAGCTTAGAACCTGCCTTGGGCCCAGGGTGTGATCCTGGGGTCCCGGGATTGAGTCCCACATCAGGCTCCCTGCATAGAGCCTGCTTCTCCCTCTGCCTGTGTCTCTGCCTCTCTCTGTGTCTCTTATGAATAAATAAATAAAATCTTTTTTAAAAAATAAAATAAAATAAAATTTAAAGATAAGTTAATAGATATTGCCAGTACTAAAACACAGGAGAAAAACAGTAGGGGAAAAAATAAGAATAAAACCTCAAAGAGCTCTAGGACAATGTTAAGTCATCACTAATGTCTGTAATTAAAGCCCTAAAAAATTAGGGGAGAGACAATAAGGCAGAAGAAATATTTAATTTCTTCAAAATTATCATTAGCTTTCTAAAAATAACGAAAGTCATAAAATTATAGATCCCAGAAGCTCAGAGCACCCCAAGTAGGATAAATATATCAGCCCTCCACTCCTACAAAAAACAATGACCTGAACCCATCATTAAAAGTCTGACTATAAAACCAAAAGAAAAGAGGAAATCTTGAAGGCATCCTCATGAAAAAGACATGCTCCATACAGAACAAACATAAGAATTTCTTCAGAGTCTAACTAGAAATGATACAGTTCAAAAGACACTGGAAAGACATCTTTAAAATACTAAAAGATGGACGCCTGGGTGGCTCAGCAGTTGAGCATCTGCCTTTGGCTCAGCACATGGTCCCAGGGTCCCGGGATCAAGTCCCCCTTCAGGCTCCCCACAGGGAGCCTGTTTCCCCCTCTGCCTGTGTCTCTGCCTCTCTCTGTGTGTCTCTCATGAATAAATAAATAAAATAAAATCTTTTTTAAAAAATAGAATACTAAAAGAAAAATCCGTCAACCCTATGAAACTTTTAAGATAACATCTTTAAAAATTAAAATGAAACAAACACTTGCTCAGATAAACAAAGCTTAGCCAAAGACACACACTGCCAGAAATATTCAGAAAATTTCTTCAAGCTAGTGATTCTGAGAGCAGAGAGAACCTGGGATGTACACAAGAGAAAAAAACAGCTCTAGAAATGATTCTAGAGAGAAATTCAACCCAAAAAGCTTTATAAGATAATTGACTGTCTGGAGCAAACACTGTAATGGGGGTTCTTCACATGTGTAGACATAAGCAAGACAAGACTCACTCAGATGATGTGATGTGAAAGGACACCGCTGTAGAGTCCCGGCTCTACAGGTGAACAGCAAAATAGCATCTGGGGGTAGATTGTGTTCTATTAAAGGTATAAATTATGAACTCTCCAAAGTGGACCAATCCACTTTAAAAAGATGTGTGACTAATGAGACCAAGAATAGAGATTAAATGGGATAATTAAAAAAGAGAAAAAAGAGCGGATGGCACAAATAGAACACGACCAGCGAGATGGCATTTTACCTTTAAATATATCAACAACTTCCACTAAATGCGAAAGGCCTAAATATCAGAATCAAAAGGCAGAGATTTTTAAATTGGATAAGAAAGCATGACCCAACTATCTGCTATCTATCAGAAATCCCTCTTTAAATATAAAACTGTAGTTAATTATTTCCTATATATATGTTTCTATATATGCTTATGTATTACATATGTAAATAAGCACGATGTGTATGCTTATGTGTACATATATAATATATGCATAAGTATACATAATCAACGATATGTTGGTATTATCCTTGTGAACAAACCCTTATGCCAAATCAATTAAAAATAGGGAAAATAAAAATTGTTCTTTTTATCTCCACTTATTCCTTCATTATGCTTCCTTACTCTATATAGACCCAAGTTTCTGACCTATATCACTTTCCTTTGCTCTAAAGATCTTCTTGCAAAGCAGGTTTACTGGCAAAAAAGAAAAAGAAAAAGAAAAAGAAAAGAAAAGAAAAGAAAAGAAAAGAAAAGAAAAGAAAAGAAAAGAAAAAAGAAAGAAAGAAAATCCTTTAATATGATTTGTCTCAGAAAGTCTTTATTTTTCCCTTCACTTTTGAGGGAGAATTTTGCAGGGTATAGGATTCTCAGGTGATGGGTTTTTTTTCCCCTCTCAACACACTTTAAATCTCTCTCTCTCTCTTCTCTTCTTGCTTACGTGGCTTCTGAGGAAAAGCCAGTGTAATCCTTGCCTGTGGCCCTGTGTAGGTAAGGTGTTTCTTTTCTTTGGCCTCATTCAGGATTTTTTCTTCATCTCTTATTTTCTGCAGTTTGGAAATGATGTGCCTGGAGGTAGCTGATTTTTGCACTGACCTGGGTGGTGCTCTCTGAGCCTCCTGGTCTGTGGTTTGGTGTCTGACAGTAGTTTAGGGGAGCCTCGGTCATTATTTCTGCTCCTCTTGCTCTTCTTCTCTGCCGTTCCCACCTCACAGAGGGTATGTCCCCCGTGTCATCCCACAGTCCTCAGGTGTCCTGTTCTGGTGTTTTGTCTTTGTTCCCTTTGCATTTCAGTTTTGTGGGTTTCTGCCAATAAATCAGAGAGCATCAGAGATACTTTCTCACCTGTGTCCAGTCTACTAGGAAGCCCATCAAAGGCATTCTTCATTATTGTCTCTTTCTGGTTCTTTCCATCTCACTGTTTACATTTTCCTGTCTGTTCTTGCCTGCTGTCTGCTTTATCCATCAGAGCCCTTGCACATGCATCAGAGTGGTTCTGAATTCCTGGTCTGATCATTCCAACATGTCGGCCATGTCTGCTTCTGTCGCTTGCTCTGGCTGCAAAAAATGTGTTTGTTTGTTTTGTTGCTTTTTGCCTTGTGATTTTTTTTTCTCGATAGCCAGACACAATGACCTGAGTTGAAGGAACTGCTGTAAAT